TAATAATAATAATAATAATAATAATAATATGGAACAAAAATATCACATCCACCTTCTTTGTCCCTTTTCTGTTGTAAAATGTTTATAACATTTCTGCCCATTGCTGACGTTCTAAAACTAGAGAGTATTAGAGGGCCATCCAGATTTCCCCTATGCCAAAAGGAGGAAGAGTCTATTGATCACATTTTCATTCTTTGTACCATTGCCAAAGTGGTTTGGAGAAAAGTTACAAAATTTATTGAGGCTGAGGCCAAACTTTCCAACTGGTCTACTATTCATGAATGTTGGCAGGAGTGGATGTCTCAACCAGACCACTACATTCTTCTCATCATTGCTTGGTTCATTTGGATGACTATGAATAACAACATACATGAGAACAAATCACCCTCAACACAAATTATCATCAATAACTGCATTGGTTATCGCCATAAGATCCAAATATTCTTCTCTCCCAACACACACAAGCAAGCCTAGAAACATATAGCTATCCAGTTGATAATCTAGAGGTAGCCTAAAACACCCTGGATCAAAGTTAACACTGATGGTAGTTTCACCGATTCAATTGCTGACATTGGTGGATTATGTAGGGATCATAGGGGATTCTGCTTAAGGTTTTTCAAAGCTCCTATCCACACTGAAAATGCCCTTGAGGCAGAAACTGTTGCTGCCTTTTGGGGACTGAAACTTGTTGTTCTGCAACAACTAAAATACATACCTATGGAATTGGACTCTCTCCAACTGATTCAAATTCTCCACAAGAAGACAAAAACTCCATGGTCCCTCACCATCTGGATTAGTAAAATCCTTGCTCTGTCAACTTCTGCAAGGCGGAGCGGGCGGAACAAAAAAAAATTGAAATGTTGCAAAATGGAGGGGTGCAACACGAGGACTTCCCAGGAGGTCACCCATCCTAGTACTACACTCGCCCAAGCATGCTTAACTGCGGAGTTCTGATGAGATCCGGTGCACTGGTACTGGTATGGTGGCACCCAAAGATATATGCATCTTTTTTATACTTATAGTATTTGGATTCACACTCTTAGGAAAGCTATAAACCTGCCAGTGGTTGGCTAAGGGTGCTACTCATTCAGAGTTAGTTATTTGCAAGTTGGTTCCTTGTAATAAGCTTAAAGTTTTGATACATAGGGATTCTATGAGCTTACCTAATGTCAGTTGTCGCTGAGGTGGAGGATGAACCTCTTTTCCTCTGGTTGGATGGTGATATTGAAGTTTGCAACCGACGCCTTAGTTGCGTTTTTCTTGCCTTACTGTCTATTGAGGTCTTCCCGCGATTTGATGGTGTTATTGAAGGTTCCCTCTCTGCGCTCGAGAGGTGTTATTAATGGTATTATCACGGGTTGTTTTCCCACATTATCTGGTGTTATTCTCGACCTTCGACAACGGGTGTTATCGCTGGTTGTACCGTGGTGTTATTCATTGTGGTATCTCGTTCATTGTACCTCCGCATTTGTTGGTGTTATTGACGGGTGTTCCTTCATGCTCTGGAAGTGTTATTCGTGGGTTGTATTTTGGTGTTATTCATGGTGGTATCACACACTTTGTAACTCCGTAGTTCATGGTGTTATTGATAAGTGTTTTCCCGAGTTTTGTGGTGTTATTCTCGTCCAATGTTGGCTTTCCATGTTGTTGGTGTTTTCTTGGTTTACATTCCGCGTTTCCTTGGTGTTATTCCACCGCTCCTCGACATTTTGTTTGTTCCCTTGTTGCTATCGTTCATGGTATTTCGAGACTCCTCAGCATTTTGTCTACTGGTGTAATTAAGCAGTATTTTTTGGTGTTATCTGAGTTTTTGGGTATACATGTAACTACTTTTTGGAGGCTCTCGTGTGCGTTCTATACTGGATGGAGGATCCATTGGAATAATGGATTTCTCCATTTATTTGTACACGATTTACTTTTTTTTAATAATATTACCTACGGGCCTTTTGGTTATATATATATATATATGTGTGTGTGTGTGTGTGACAAGGTAATACAAGTCTCTAAATTTAAAAATTCAAGCTTTGTAGAAACTAAAATTGAAATTTAAATAATAAAATATAAATTCAAATATTTCATCTTGATTAGGTTCTTGTGATAGGCCTTAAATGGGATCTCGATTGGGTACTTTATCAAGCTCTTGCTTGAGCTCTAGTAAGTGAACTTTGGGTTCATTCAGATGAGGTACAACATCAGAGTGATATAGTACATCACCTTGACGAACTTACACCCATATGAGATTACAATTCTTTTGGATGACACACTACATCACTCTGAGGGACTTACACCACCCTTGGCTATCATAAGTTCTTTCACGACACGTATATTTTTTCAGTTTCAGTTTGGTATGATTTGCTTCAGAACTTTCTTCTCCGATTTATGTTTTGATGACTGTTTTACGAGACGTCTTTGTATTCACCCTTTTTATATTTTATAATATTTGCCCAGCTTAGTTCATCATTCTCTTGTTCTATTTCTTTGTGATAGAGTCTATTAGCGAAGAAAGATCTAAAATAGACAAATATCAAGAAAATCACAGAAAGGGACACAACAATATTTAAAGTACATCCTTTTATTAAACAATTGAAAATCTTCTTCCTCAACATATCATATTTAAATTTATTGAATTAAGTTGATATAAATAAATAAATAT